CCATTCTACTCCTGTTATTCTCTCCACTTGCAGCTCTACTATGTATTCAAAGCACAGAACCACGTGGTCGCTAGCTCCTAGGGACTCTCATACTTGATGTCCTCAATGTCTGAGCTGCCCAGGTGAACACAAAGGTCCAATCTTGCTGGTTCATCCTCCCCTCTCACTCTGGTAGTGTCCTTAACATGTTGGTGCATGAGGTTTTCCAGCACCACGTCCAACATCCTGGCTCTCCATGTTTCGGGACCCCCATGTGGCTCCAGGTTTTCCCAGTCAATCTCCCTGTGGTTGAAATCCCCCATAACCAGCAACTTTGCTCTGCTGGAGTGAGCTCTTCTTGCCACCTCAGCAAGTGTGTCCACACATTGCTCTGTTGCTCTCTTCATATTCCTCTCTTGGCCTCCTGCAGTTCTGTGGTGGATTATACATCACTGCAATGACCACTTTGTGTTCCCCAGACTGAAGTGTACCTGCAATGTAGTCTCTTTCTCCCGTCTCATCTATTCCTTCCATTTTCTCGAATTTCCATCTGTTTTTTACGAGCAGAGCAACCCCACCTCCCCCCCCTGCCCCTTCTATCTTTCCTCATGATCTGGTATCCTGTGGGAAGATTGCATCTGTTATTGTCTCCATGAGTTTTGTTTCTGTAACTGCTATGATGTCTGGGGACTTCTCATTGATTCTTTCTTGCCATTCCTCATGTTTATTCGTTAATCCATCTGCATTTGTGTACCAAACCTTCAATTTCTGTTCTAATACTGTAACTGTGGTGGGGGGGTGGAAACAGGGGGATGGGGTTTGGGATGTTGGTTTGGTTTTTCAGTGCCTTGGGGGTGTCGTGGTGGGAGCCCCTTTTTCAGGTGTTTTTGGGGGGTGCGCTTGCCCTTTCCCATTTGACCCGGGTTTTTCTGCCCCCCTTTTTTCATTTCCTCCCATTTCTCCTTCTTTTTTGAACTCTCTTTTTTCATTGTCTTCCTTTTTTCCTTGTTCTGTCTGGGTGAGGTACACCCCCGAACCTCCTGCTTGCCTCTCAGCCGGCTTTCTCCTGAGGACAGGTTCGGGTTATTCTCCTTGAAAATTATTTGAGAGGCCGTTCCTTTTCTTTGGAACCCCCAAAATTCTCCAAAATTTCCCACCGGGGTCTTGCCCCCCTCGCCTATCACCTTCATGATGTCTTTCAATCGCTTTTTTCTCCCCCTGCTTCTTTCATCATAAGTTTCCCCCTTTATTTTCGTCTAGCCCATAGACAAACCGGACTCTCCCTTTCCCCCTCCCACTGTGACCCCATTGCACCCCTTGATGTGTTTTAGTTCCCCCTGTGGGGGTTTTCCCTTTCCTTCAGCCCTTCCCTATTAGGGCCCCTATGCTTTTTGGGTTTATCCTTCCTCCCCTCACCTGCCCTGGCCCCCACGGGTATCTGGTAAGGTCCTTGCACATGTCCTAGTTCCTTCAATTTCTTCCAACCTCTCTGTCCTAATGTCCCTGTCTTTTTTTTGGCCCCCATGGGGGTTTGACGGGACCTCTGCATACGTTTATTTCCCTGTTTCCCTTTCGGACCTTTGTCTGTGTTCGATGTAGCCTTTCCCCGATGCACTTCTGTAATATTTTTGTCTCTGTGCTGTTTCAGGTCTAGCCCCTTTCTAATCTCTCTACTGATTTTGCTGCTTGGCCTGTTGTTCCCCCTTTCGCTTTCTGCTGCAAACCTCTCTTCCATTTTCCCTTTTCCCCACTCATTATCCCCCTTCCCCAGTTTTCCCCCCTTTTTTTTGAGCTCTCCCTCCCATTTCCCCCTCTCAGATTGCCGGGGCCCCTTGTCCTCATCCGTTAGGGGGAGGGAAAAGGTTAGGGGGAGGGGAAAGAGGGTTTGGGGGAGGGGAGGGAAGGGTTTTTTTTTGGGGGAGGGGGAGGATGGTTTTGGGGGGTAAGATATTGGGGGGGGGAGTTAGATGGTTTTGGGGGGAGAGGGGATGGATGGTTATGGGGTGGGGAGGATGGTTATTGGAGGGGGGGAGGTTGTTGGGGGGGGTTGACGTTTGGGGGGGGTTGGTGGTTTTTTGGGGGGGGGGGGTGGCTAAGGGGAGGGGGTTAGGGAAAGGGGTGTTGGTTTTTTGCAATGTTTGTGTCAAGTGGTGGAGGGAGAGTGGGGTGTTGTGTGTGTGGTGTGTGTGTGTGTGTGCACGTGTGTGTTGGCGGTGTGTATGTGCATGTGGGGGGTGGGGTGGTGGGTTTTGTGTGTGTGTGGTGTGTGTGGTGTTGTGTGGTGTGTGTGGTGTGTGTGTGTGGGTGTTTGGTGTGTGTGTGTGTGTTGTGTGTGGTGTGTGTGTTGTGTGGTTGTGTGTGTGTGTTGGTGTGTGGTGGTGTGTGTGGTGTGGGTGTGTGTGTGTGTGTGTGTGTGTTGTGTGTGTGTGTGTGGTTTTGTGGTGTGTGTGTGTGTGTGTGTGTGTTGGGTTGTGTGGTGTGTGTTTTTGTGTGGTGTGTTGTGGTGTGTGTTGTGTGGTGT